CATCATGTTGTTCTCAAATGTTTAAAAAAAACAAATGTAAACACAAAATGCTTGAAAAATCAAGACAGGATGAAACTTAGACATATTGAAAATGGAAAGTCTACACTTGCACACATTCTAAAAAGTCCCTCAAGTGTGACTTTCACAGTGATATGAAAGGAAAAGCACTTTTCTTGGCTTTTATGTACAAGTATAGCTCTAAAACGAAGGACATCTTTTGAATCAGTGTGCAACTGTGGGAGTACAGATGAGAAATCACTTTATTTGCCCTATGAGCACTCACGCTGCTGAGGGGTCAAATCCTGTCCTTTGCAGTCATGTGTTACGTCCTGTTAGTCTCAAAGTTATTCGTTTGTATCAACAACCACCGACGTCTCTGGGTTACACTCGACACTGGAACAATGAATCATCAATCGCCTTCCCGGTCACATAACCAGTAACATCTTGTGTGAGCGGACTTTGAGGCACAGTGTTGTGACTAATAAATTTAAATGCTGGCAAGTTGTTAAATATACAAGTACAGTCAGACACTTGGGCTTAGTCTAATTATAGAAACTTTTAAGTTGTCGATTTAAATACTTTGACGATGGCGTGGGGTGAGATTAGTATTAATGCATGTGATAATGAAGTCTCTGAATTCACTTTACTGCTCTACTTGTAAATAAGGGCAGAGCTGATGAAAGATGAATATGCAGTATCTGATGTCACTTGTTTTGCTCCATTCAGAGTTTAATTATATTTAGACCTCTGGAGGAACAGAACACATCTGCTGTGTTAGCCACATTTATTAAAATCAAGGAGATTGTAGGGGAAGGAACAAACTGAATTTTCTAGAGAAATTGTGTTAACGTTGACACAAACAGATGATCTGCAGCATAATACAGTGTGCACATGAATATGGAAGTTCTGGTGTTGAGAATAATATAGTGCCAGTGGCGGCAAGGTAAAGTGATGGAAATATTCTAAATATTACATACACTCACACTGATGCACGTTTTGTTGCTGACCCCATCCACAGCAGGAGGTTGCCTAGCTTCCATCCTGGTAATCCTGTCTGCTTCTCCAAACTGGGGGCGGGCTGACAGCCTCTACTGTAGGAACTAGACTGACTATGGATAAGTACCTCATACAACCACATTTCAAAAATCCATCTAAAAAATACCTACTGCAAATCTTTATAAAAATCAGCCACTTACTATCTGCTTATGGAAGAACTACAGTTTCTAATTCTAAAACCTGTAACTGTGTGATTTTAAACAGATGGCTTTTGTTCCCCAAACGGCTGCTTTGCTCTTAGATTTTTTGTTATGATGCTGTACTTCATTATAGAGCTGTCCCCAACTAAGGATTTACATAGTCGAATCAGAATCGTCAAGTCCAGCTATAGTCAACTGATAGTCGAATCGTGTGTTTTTGTGCACGGCGATTGTGAGCCGAAGCTAAACTGAAGCTTATTGTTGACCTCTCTCTCTCTCTCTCTCTCTGACAGTTGAGTCCAATAGAGACAGTGATTGGTTTATGAATGAGCTGACTATCACTGGTCTGGTTGAGAGCGCAATTGTCAAATTGCAAGAGCATTTTGACTATAATTTAGATAATTGCTGCTAACATTACTTACATTACATACATTTCTGCTTCATCTGAAGAAGCTACAGTTCAGAGCTGTTGACAGATTCATAAAGGTGTCGTCAATCTGATATAAAAGCACTGTCAGACATCCCTTAACAGCAGTTTTTTCAATATTATGGTAATTACGTATTACGGTATTATCTATTTATTTTATTTAAATTTTTAATATATTTTTATTTTTCTAACACACACACACACACACACATACACTTTAATTACTTTACGCTTTAATTACTTGTTTAATGAAATGTATGGGGTTGATTGTTCTTATGTAGTTTGTATGATGCTTTGGCAGTATTGTTGTTATACAGTCATGCCAATAAAGCTCATTTGAATTGAATTCGTAAGTGGCTGAAACATAATACTATAAGAAAATATAGGCGCACTTATAAATGTCATGATTATATTTTAATATTATTGACTAATATATCACTAATATAATGTCTTAATAAATGTGGGCTACGCACACATTTTTTCTAATTCTATTCATTAACAAACAAAGATAATTTTGTCATAAAAAAATAACATCATAATGGCAATGTTGGTAAATTGCTTAGCTGTAAGTAGGCTGTTAGCTACTTACACTCGATCAAATTAGTTTTTAATTTATGATGTAGACTAGATTTATTAATATATGCAAACAGGCACTAGTCATCAAATTTCATACGAGCACTACAACTCAAACATTCAGGACTCTAGTAAATACTAACACCAAGCACATTCCTTTGTTTAAAGTCTCAAATGTCCTGTTATGCATTGTCCAGCGCAAACTCTTAATTGTTAGTGACTTCTTGTTTATTCTGTGGTGGATGATAACATCCTCAACATCTATCTAGCCATTTGACCTGCTTCTTCAAGATTTCATTGTTCATCTTCAATCAAAAATCGGTACTGAAATGTGCCCCAAAATAGCGCCTGCGTCATATGTTCTTAACAAAGAGAAATGTGACATACAGTGCAACAAGATGTGACGTCAAGTCCCAAGCCCTATATAACCTGTACTACAATAGGATTATGTGACACACTCAGTGCAGACATTCCCTGTTTGTATCTGTGCACCAAACACACACAGGACAAAGATGCATAGCAAAAGGTGCAGTGAGTCACCCCAGCTCATCTGTTTTCTGCAGTGTTGCTCAATAAGTCGCTGACCATCTCAACCACCCGTGCCAAGTGTACACATGTGAAAGGCCCCTGACCTCACAAATGACGTTTGTTCCTGTTACATGGTTGGGTGGGTTTGTTCAGTTTGTGTGTAAATAGATTATTCAGTATATGTGTCATGTGCCACAGAAAAATACTACATATATTACTGCTCACACAGTAGCTACAAATGTTTCCATTACAGTGTATATTGTGGGGGGAAATGGTGATTATTTGTCTGGCACTTGAAGGTAGTATTTTGTTGGCTAAACCCTTTAGAGAAAGAAATCGAAACTGCCAAGACCAACAAACTGGACTCTATTTTGTTATTTAAGCTGGAAAGTGTAATTATCACAAATGTTCTAATCAGTCTCTGGAATAAACAACTAATCAGCATGGATATGAGAAGTGGTGAGTCATCCAGAGCAGATGATTAACAGTAAATTTACGAATTTATTAACAGAAGATATCTGTATGTGTTGGAATGTGGAACTATGTCAGCCAGTGGAAAATTAACTATATTTTCTGGATTCATATTGCTTTCATTATCTATTCTGTTTTGGGTGAGATAGGTATTCTTTATGGAGCGCTTCCTCAGCATTTCTTTTTCACAGTTGGAGGAGTCAGCAACTTAGCTGTGGCTACAAGGCCTGTGCTGGAGACATTTGCCTCCAGATAGGAACTTACTGGGTTTCACAGATGTAGCCACGATGGGCCTGTTCAGCTGCTCACTAGAGATTTTGCATGTCTCCGGGCAAAAAGCACACATTTGACGTGTACTGTATTAATGAGGAGTCTAGATCTTGCTCTGACTCCAAAACATGACTTCTCCTGGGGCTGAATAACAAAAAATAAAACATTCATCTGTGAAATCTGGACCTGTCTTCCTTTTCCAATGACATGTCATAGAGTAGCACTGCTGGTCCATCCAACACATAGTAGTAAGAGCATATGTGGGAAGTGAGGGTTAATAAGATTTGTCATTGCACAGCAAAGAAAAAAACAAATAGTCATTTTCAATAATTGGGAAAAACATTGCCCAAAAGCCGGTGTGAGGGGGTTTCAGATGCTGTTTGACGATCCAACAAGCACTTTGCTTAAAGCATACTGAAACGTAAAACATTAATTTTGATGTTATAACAAGCAAGAAAGTTCATGACAATGTCAGATGCCTCATAATACCTCAGTCTTATAGTGCACATCGTCGAAAGGAGTCATAGAAGCTGATCTTGAGTGGAAGAATTACACTTCTACCTAGCAGCGTTTACCAGTCGGCAGCGACCAATCGGGTTCTTTTCAAACAACTTAGTCTGAGTAATGACGAGAGGACAATGAAATGGCTTCTCATAAACCCAGCTGGACACATTGGATAATATGGGCCTCATGAACCCAACTCGCAATCTTACTGTGTAGTTAAAGGCACACAAGACGATGTCACTATGTGAGGAGAACACATACTGCGAACGATAAAAGGAATGACTCTCACCCAGCGCAAATTACTTCCCATCCCCTTCCCTTTGTAACAAAGAGCTGTTTAAAAGAGTCGCTCATGACTGACTCATGAAATTTTCAACTAGGAAGACTGTTATACACTCAAGCTGATATGTTACATGACTGTCAGCACTGAGTCCTCTGCATGAGTGTGTGGAGACTGCAGAAGATTTCCGTCCCTCCCAGCTCCGACACACTCAGTCCCATTATAAAAATAAAACCTAAGAGGAAGGACACAACAATCCAGACCAATTCCTCCTCTTTTTCTTGGTGGAGGGGTGGATGGTTGCTCTGGGCTTTAAAGGAAACAATACCTCAGACGTCTGTAAATAATGCAGTTTTATTTTATTTTTTTTGAGCACTTGCAAACATTAACTGTTTTCCACCCTTTGGCAAATGGTGAAAATGAATAAAAACCGGTAGGTCCAGGCAAAGGGAGAGCAGAGACGGTGTTGAAAGTGTAAGTGAAAGAGGAGGGTGAAAATGAGACAGGTAGAGTGTTCAGCCAGTCAGTGAGGGCATTAGGCTCTGAGGCATGAAGAGTACGTTGGCAGAATGTTTGGTAGAGGTTCAGTGATCCATCAAAGGAAAGCCTGTCTTTCCATTCTGCCTGCTGGAGAGCCTTCCCTCCCTGCCTTGCCTTGCAGTAACTCCCCCCCACCCCTCTCTGTCTCTCCATTCCTTTCCCCCCCGACCCCCCCCCCCCCCCCCCCCCCTCTTTGTCTCCTTCCTTACAGAATGTTTCCTGGGGTAAGCAGTACTCTTATGCCCTCTTCAAAGCCATGAGCCACATGCTGTGCATCGGGTATGGTGCCCGGGCACCCGTCAGCATGTCTGACTTGTGGATCACCATGCTGAGTATGATTGTAGGCGCCACGTGCTACGCCATGTTTGTGGGCCACGCTACAGCTCTAATCCAATCACTGGACTCTTCACGCAGGCAATACCAAGAAAAGGTACAGTAACAATGAAACAGTGACACACATTCTAATAATAAATACCTTAGCATTATAAAAAAAAACTTGGGTTTACATGATTTAAATAATATTGGATGTTATTTCAATTAAGCAACTATTTAACAACAAGGAACTGCATGGTATGAAGAACAAATCTTTAATGTTTTGTTGTTTCAAGGTAAGTAATGCTAATTACCGCTGGGATGGTCTTAAAGAATTAATCTGAGGGTTTTGCTCTTTCCGACTACATAAAATCCTACTCATTGGAGCTAGACTTAAATAAATTAGGTCTTCTCTCAGTGGCACTGTGGACCAATGGGTTGAGCTCTCACAGATCACAATATCCGGGGCGATGACTAGGAAAGAGGATTTTCTCCCCCAAGCAGATCATACAAGGCCAACGGGGTGAGGAGGTCTATGACATGACCAGCCACCTCACTGTCTATATGCTGCCAGTGAACACGTTTTATTCTTCCCTTTCATTTCAGTCCCTATTACATCACTTTTTTTTTTTGCATGGAGGGTGATTATCCAGTGTTTCAGCCGAGCCACCATCTGTGATCCCGCTGAGGGGCCTGGGCAATTCCCAGAACACACGGCCATGACTGATGCGCACTGTGCGCTTGCACGCAACAACTTGAGTTTAACTCCAAAACTTTTCCTGCCCTTATGCTACAGAATTCCATGTACATATAAAATTGTAGTGCGGGGGATTATGGCCCTCTATGTTAAGTCTTGATCCACTTAAGGACATAGTTATGTATCAAATGAAGAGCTGACCTTTAACTTATGCAGTAACATCATGATTCATCTACCACATAGAAATGTATATAAATTGGTTGTCATTGTGTCATTTAGGGACGATGAGTCAAGTGAAAGAGCAGTGAACAGAAACTGGCAATGATCTGGCCATATGAAATGTATATTTCTAGAAAAATATTCTACAAGTATTTAATTAAAAGTTTTTTTTCAAGCAACAATGCCAAACATTCTCCTCACTTTTGAGAATTTGCAGTTTTTTCTATCTAGTTTTTTCTCATGTGAAAGTAAAGCAAATATCTTACATACCAAGAAGTTTGACGTCATAAACTTGGAAAACTGTGATGTGCTTTTACCATTTTCTGAAATTTAAGAGACCAAACGATTGAGATAATAATCTGCAAAGCCGGCAACTCATGATTATTTTCATTATTGATAAATAGAGCTGCAACGATGAATCCAATAATCACTTTGGGTCATTTTTTATAAGAAAGATGATTTGATTCCAGCTTCTTAAATGTGAATATTTTATGGCTTATTTTCTATTATTATTTTATATAATTTATATTTTATTTTCTGTTGATTATTTTCTCAGTTCCTAATTTCCTGTCAAATGTCAGAAAATACTGATAAATTGCTAAAAACATTCCTCACATTTGACTGACTGGAATGGACTGATACACAAAGTGCAGATCAATTATCCTGCAGGAGGTTGTTGCCATAATTCTTATCGAAGCATCAGCAGAGTCACCTTGACTGTGACTATAACAGGACATGCTAAAATACCAGTTCATTAATTTATAGCTCGCACGTAAAAGCATTTAGGTCATATAAGCTCATTCTAAAGTGATGGCCTGACCTTGGCAGATGTTTCCATGGTCAATGCAATGCCTCTCTGCGATTTTGCTGCAGTGTTGGCCCTTAAAACTCATCATTAGAACACAATCTGTTTTTCCTTCACTTTTGTGCCTTTGAAAAATACAGTTGCTACAGCATCATTATGGTACAATGCCACCCACAGCTTACACATTAAAACAGTGGTGGAAATGGTGAAATGCAAGGAGAAGAAGCATCTAGCCAACATCAAGGCTAAAGAAGTTAACCTGAATGGGATCATGAAGTCCTAATCATTTCATCATCCTGGGAAAGATGGACAGGAAGAGAAAGAAAATTTCATCGTCACATTAATCATCAGTCGGTGCATTATCAATAGCAGATCAGAAAACATCAGTGCACTCCAGAATCAGGACAAGAAGATGCAAATTGGCGAGGCAGAGCTGCCACAGTGAAAGATCTTTTACTCTGACAAAAAATAAATAAATAAATCACTTTGCCAAATAACACCACGGCATGGTAAATTAATTCACAGTGATGATTTCTTCATAATCTTGATTGAATCGTAATCCAAAACACCTCTTTATGATTGAACAGAAACAGCCAGATAGATATAGATGTCACAGCACATTCCACCAAAAATGTATAATAGCAGGTCACCCAGAGCAAACAAGTCAGCCGTTCGAAGTTTGAATTAGTTACATGCGTCTTTCTCAGTATGTGATGTACATCTGCTTCACAGCAAATCTGTTTTATCTACATCCCATTTTAGCCTTTCAACACCCCTCCAGGCATTGAAGTGACAGCTTTGAGGCTGTGAATGCCATGCTCATGGTAACAGAGCCCCAGTGTGTAGCCAGATTCAGCTGATTTGCTGCATGGCTGTGCATATCAGTGGAGCAGGCTGGGCAGCAGCAGGGACGAGTTCTGGGTGCTCAGCCTCTAGTCATTACATCTATCACTACCACAGCTTGGGGGTTGGAAACATGGATCGGGAGATGGATGTGGGTGTGAGATTAGTTAAGGACAGAGGGTGGATATGAAAAGTACAGAAGATGAGGAAGGAAGAGAAAAGGTGATGCAAGGAATCATTCTTGGCAACAGGTTATACTTAATTACAAAAACTTTATTCTTAATTGACTTGTTAGAACATATTTTTCTACACACAGTATACTTATGCTTAGAATAGCTGAAACGCTCTATGTGGATATGAAAAGTCAGCCTGCAGAGAGCAGAACGGAACGGGCTCACAGAGAGCGGTTATCCGTAGTTGAAGCACACAAAATGACAAATTAACAACACGCTAACAACGTGTAGGACAAACGCTGAAACACATCAGTGTGAGTTGACGTTGGCCAAAACCGCGGCACAGCCGCTGCCTCTATCTGTGGCGCCAGTATCCCACGTTTTCCTCTAGTTTGTTTTCGTTTGTTGTTGTAAAATGTACACGCCCTGTGCCCACTCTGATTGGTGAGTAGGACCGTAACAGGAGGTGCATGGAGCTTGTGATTGGCGAGCAGATCTGTCACACAAGGTTGACAATGGAATGAATTAGTGCATGACTGTTTAAAACCGGTCAGATGTGCTGTATAATATAATAATAATATAAAGGCCTACACCCAAGTATGAAATTATATGTTTCTGGCATCTGCATTATTCGCTGTCTTGCTGAGAGTTAGATGAAAAGATTGATACAATTTTCACATCCACACGTTAAATATGAAGCTACAGCCAGGAGACGGTTAGTGCAGCTTAGCATGAAGACTGGAAACAGCTAGCTTAGCTCTATTGATAATCACCTTCTACCTCCAGCTTCATATTTAACACAGGGGCATGAGAGTGGTATAAATTTTCTCATCAAATTCTCAGCAAGAAAACAAATAAGTAAATGTCAAGCTATTTCTTGATTTTTACCCCCCCAAAAGGTTTATAAAACTGGAACACTATTTATTGCATTTCTGAAAAAACTTTACTAGCTAGCACTGATTTAAATTGCTCCCTTATAACTGGATAATTAACCAATCAAATCTACAAAATGAATTTGTGTGGGAGTGGGAATTAAGTCAAGAAATCAATGACGGAGATATTGTTACTTCTCTCTTACTGCAACATTTCATTGGGTGGACCATGCTTGCACCACACTGGCCATAGAGCCCGCCAACCTCCAACCACCAACCTCACAGCTGCTGTTGGCTCCCACCTATTGTTCCACTGTGATTACCTGAGGAGTTGAGAGAGACTTTTTTTCAGGTGCGAGGGCCTTAGACTGGCTTGAAAGATTGTTTTCACGTGTCTGGGTAAAAAACCTGTGCGAGGAAATACAGATTGATCAAAAAGACGAGGCCACAAAATATTCCATCCTTTCTAATATCTATTTTCCTTCCCTTCCTCCTTCCATCCTTCTCTTCCTCTCTCCTGTGTACTGTACCATTAATAACAGCAAAGGTTTATAAAGAACAACAAGTAACTCGTTGTTGATTATTTAACCAGTGTTTAAATGACAGTAAATATACCCTAACTTAGATTTGTGCTGTATTTCTGTGTTCAATAGTGGTAGATGTATCTGAAAAGTATTGCAACTGCTAACTTTGCATAAAAATTTAATCAGGGCTGTAAACTGTAAATACCGCTTTAATTTTGACGTTTTCACACAAAACAGCAAGTCGACTTTCTTTCCTTGCAGTATGAATTAAGCATCAAAAATATATGACAATAAGTTATATAATATTATATCTAAAGGTTTATGCCAGTCAGTGATTACTGCTAAATTATTTTGAAATTTAACCAGTTGTTTTCCTTAGTTTTTACAAATAAATGTGTCATGAATGTGAAACATTTCAAATCAATAAACTGCATGGAAAGTTTACAGCACAATTCATATGTGCAGACAGTTTTAAAATATTTTACATACATGTTTTGTTAAATAGAAACAAGATAATTAAAGAAAAAGGAGACGGAGGTTGGACAATCCCTTTGGCATCACCTTGGCAAACACTAATAAACATAAGTGTACTCAGTACTACTCGTGTGCTCCGAATTAAAGAAATCACAACAGAATTTTCAAGAGAAGTCAGGCAAATAATTATCACGTGATCAGTCATGTAATCTGTGCCATCTGTGTCTATGCATCTCTTAAATCTCTTCAGGATATCAGGTATTCCTTGCTAGTTCACATTATATCATAGCCTGGTTGCCTATTAGGGATGGGCTCCTGCATGGGTGAGATAATCGGAACTGCTACCTTGGTCTGACATAGCCCCGGGCCTGTACTTGTTCCTACTTTCCTTCACCACCTGCCTCCCCTCTTTCTGTCTTTCCCTCCCCACACACAGAACCAGGACATGGGAGCGTGACTATGTGAGAGCACGGATTGTCCTCAATAGAGAAACACAAACACACACATTGCGGTTTATTCAAGGTGTACTCTGAAAACCTCTGCTTGTTTCTATTTCTAACACTGCCATTAGAATGTTTGGTGTTTAACATATAGCAGCTCTCATTTGAACAGATATCCATCTGCTTTGTTTGTCTTCCCAGTACAAGCAAGTGGAACAATACATGTCCTTCCACAAGCTTCCAGCAGACATGCGGCAGAAAATCCATGACTACTATGAACATCGCTATCAAGGCAAAATCTTTGATGAGGACAACATCCTAAGTGAACTCAACGACCCACTCAAAGAGGTGAGACAACTTCTCCTTTAAGACCCTAAACTGAATTCAAGCATCGCTTCCTTTAAGAAGCTCCTTAGTAACATTTATAAATCTTTTTGAGATTTGTGTTTGAAGGCTTTATTTTTATTTTTAGAACATGTAAAAAAAATACACAAACCTCAAATTAAAAAAAAAAAAGGTTCTTGACAGGTAAGCTGTCACAAGGTGGTTTTAGTTTTGGAACTAGAGGATTGTTCCCTCAAGATGTAGAGTGAATCTTCATTTGGCACCTTTAAGTGTGCAGTTACTGCAACTGAAATACCAAAACCTGTCGTCTCGTCTTACAAGGTCAAGAAGAAAAACAGCTAAATGGATTCTCCTTAGCATCCTGGGTGAACCCAGACTGAGCATCCTTTAAGATATGAGAAAATTCACTACAGAAGCATGACCTGCGTCTCACTTTCACTTGTGATAAATAACCAGAGTTCCAGAGCTCTTTTATTTTAAATTTTTTACAAGTTTGAACTCATTAGTGTAGCACAGATACACAGCTAGACAACTCAAGGACCATCTGAGTAAACTGCATATTACCCAAAAAGAGAGGTAATGGGAAGGAATATTCAATTTTGGAGTCAGTGACCATTTTTTAAGTTCTTGGCTGACCTCCTCGTGTGAGCAGATTACATGGGTAATTATGCATAGGTAGAAGGAAAAGCAGAGGAATAAAAAGCAAAGCAACCATAGGAATTGTGATCTCTCACGTAGCCCAATTAAGTCACCTTGCAGAGTCGAATGCTGGGGCGAGGAGAGTCGCTGCACGATGCCAGACACTCACAGGGAGGTGCTGGGATTTAAAGGTATGACTTACTACACAGAAAATCCTGCAGGCTTAGGTTCACCGTGCATAGCAAGCAAATTTTAAATCTGCATGGAGACAGTGTCACAGTAAAAGCTATGCCCGCGAGACCACCTGATAAAAACAAACAGAGTCGTGTCCCAGCAAATCAGGACACGGAAACTAGCTTACATCGCCATTTCACTGAAAAGCTGCTCTTATGAAACGTCAGTTATGGGTTATTTCAACAGCCTCTTCCTCTCATAGAAGGTACAAGAAGCTGGTTAATTCAGAAATTACTTTTGTGTTACTTTTCACAACATGTTTGATGGCTTCAGTCCACTTATTTTAACTGTGCTGGCTCAGTCTTTTTGGAATGGAAGATATAAAAATAAGAACCGAGTTCATACAGCCAACCAAACATCTGTTTCAAAATCTTTCTAATCCAATGATTGCTACAACTGTACTACTAACTCGAGTATGATGATTGTTTTCCCCCCATGTCCGGCATGCGACCAGCTTATTTGTCATCTACATAAATGAAGGTTTTTGTCTGGTCATCATAGAATTAGGTCAGTTACTATGGAACTAGGAACATGTGTAATTATCTAGTTTTGTTATAGTCTTCAAGAAACACAACCAAAATAAAAACATATGAAATAAGCACAGCATAGTGAGCAAAACAGTGAAAAAGTGAGGAAAATACTTGGCTAATGCCAGGTTTTATCTTCAGAATTGTCTGTGTTCCCCAGCTACACCCCATCCCTCACCTCTTCTGTTCCTGGACCATCCTTTTAAAAAGCTAAATGACTAATGCCAACCTTAATGCAAGTTCCAATACCACATATGTAAATGAGCTTGCTTTTGCCAGCTCCTATTTGAATCACATCAGACTAAAAGTAACTGTACACTTAACAAACAGTAATAAAATTATAGCTTATTAAATTAGATACATTTTGATTTGTCGGTGTGGCACCTTCTCTGTTTCACTTGGCCTTCTTGGCCTCTGTAGTAAAGTGACCATATGTTTTGTTTTGAGAGCTAAAGGAAGGGAGCAAGGAGATTTTTTCAAACTCTGTATCCCTGGTCTGTGTCTTATTCCCTAGCCATTTAAAAATCAATGACTGTTGCTTCAAGACCCATTCCAGGTAGAATGACCGGGAGGTAGCGGGGTCTGGGCTGATTGCAATGAGCATTGAGCAACTTATAGGTCAATTTGGGTTCAGAATCAGCTCTACTTAGCAACACTCAGACTTGCTTTGGGCCATGAAATCAATCCGAGTATACTTCAACTGATTCTGGGATGTCATTTATCATAAGTCTTGCATGAGTCTTTCAACCAGGAGGGCCCGATTCAGCCTGCCGCTGGCTCAAGCAATTATGACTACCTGGGATTCACATGACAACTCTGCTTCAGTGGATAAAACAACTTTGAGGTTTGGTGTGGGGTTGGGAAGGTCAGAGCTAATGATGCTTACAGCAAAGTCCTCATTTAATCATCCTGGTGTGCAGCTGTGGACAACTGTTAAATTGATTTCAAATGGATCTGCTGAGATGTTGGGTTTCTTTTATATTTTAGTCCATGATTGTATCTACATAGTCTTTCCAATAACCCATTACTGGTTTGTATTCATTTCGGTACACTATGAAACCATCCATGAAATAATAATAATCCATCAAACTGAACAGTTTGTTGCTGTACTGCAGCTGTTGGCACAAACCACTTTAAAACTATCCTTGGTGTTTCTTTCGAGGACGCCCCAACATCAATAACTGCTACAACAATAACTGATAGTTAGCTGCAAAAGAAGCATTTAATTGATAGGCTCTGGTATCAGAAAATCTGGTCAGCAAGACGCACAAGCAAACACGAACTACCATGAAAAGGAAAACTGCACTGCATTAAAAGGTTTGCTGTTCATCAGTCATGTCTCAGATTGTCTGTTAATGCACCAGCAGGGAGAATTTTCCAAACAGGCTCTGCTCACAACTGTATTACCAGAAAATGACAAAGTGACTTTGACAAAAAATAATGTGACAGAATGCTCATTGTGATGGATTGCCTGTCTTGGGCAAGTTTAAAAGTTCTGCAAGTTGTTAAACAAATTACCATAATATATATAAATATAGCAACGTCAAATATATGCAGTTTGTTATTTATGCGCTAAAATATAACATAATAGCTAGACTGTTCTCTCTTTCTGCTAACCCCACCTTTCCTTTCTTTTGTCTTGCTGCATCTTATTTTCTGCCATATGACAAATCTTTAAATAGGCATAGCCAAAGATTGTTTCCCCAAGAGGACTCCCGGGTGGGCATGAAAATTGCTTACCCTCTCTAATTCATTAGTTCTGATGCATGATTGAGGTCAGAGGCCCGTGGCATTAGCTGACACCGGCATCTGACACTGAGCTAACATCTCTTTGCGTCGCCCTCGACTAGCTAGCGAGCGTCCCAGAGATTGGTTATCTCTCCGCTAATGTCCTGTTGTCACTGCAAGAGAGTCATCTCTCACGGGGGGTCAGCAACACACCACCGCAGATGCCAAGTGCCCCGGCTTTCCATCTGCACAGCAACATAGATGCACGGGTAAACAGACAACAAGCTCCTAATCTCCTGCTGGGTCTGAGGGGACAGGATGAGGCCAGAGAGATGGCCTGCAGCCGGCACCGTGGGGCAAACTCATCAGGATCTGACGCGTGTGCCAAAAAGTTTCTTCTCAGGAGTGATGGGAAGTGCTTTAGAAGTATTAGGGATAAAGCAGCAATATGCATGCAATTCATTTGTGCCTGCAGATAAAAGCGGCAGAAAGGAAGGATTTACTGTGGTGTTTTGTGTCAGACTACCTAACTGATGGTAATTTCTCAAGTTGTAGGTGGAGATTATTGAATTATTTATGGAATGATCTCATCTGTTCAACCAACATTTTTTGTCTCCAACAGGAAATTGTCAACTTCAACTGCCGTAAGCTTGTGGCCACCATGCCACTGTTTGCCAACGCGGACCCCAACTTCGTGACGGGGATGCTGAGCAAGTTGAAGTTTGAGGTCTTTCAACCCAACGACTACATTATCCGAGAAGGCACCGTTGGGAAGAAGATGTACTTCATTCAACATGGTGTTGCAAGTGTCATCACCAAGTTCAACAAGGAGATGAAGCTGACCGATGGATCGTACTTTGGAGGTAAGAGAACAATAAATTAACAATCCAAAATGAGTTTTTGTTTTTTATTGAAATGTTCACATGAAAATGCAAACATGAATTATATATGTGGGTACTGCCATGAAAGAGCACCGTACTCATAGTCACGCATGCATTCCTGCAGTATATTCATATGATTATTTATTAAGACATGAGTCTAGCCTAAGGTCTTGCGTTTGATGCTGTTTGAAGTTATTGTAGATGTAGATTCTCATTAACTAGTGTTGGACAGCTTCCGCAGTTATATAACCTCTCATCTGGTTGTCGGAGATGGCCAAGGCATGGATCAGGCATCCCTTAGGACACACAGAGGTTCCTCCCCAACCCTCACACACACACACACGTGCACACACTCATGAACTCTTCTCCCCTTTCCATACATCCCTTCTGCTTATAAAAAAGAGAATAGCTAGTTGTTCCTTCTGTGTAAAATCAGGAGCTACTATATTGTTCTGTTCTCTGCTGTGCTTTCATTCTCTGTCTTTGTACTCTCTTCCTCTCAGCCCGTTCCCTCTCCAAAACATTACAGATAGCATTAATTTTTCAGTCAAATGTAATTTCATTGCACGTTGTTTACTCAGACACGACAATGTCTTCCTGCGGATTTTGTCAATGTGAAAGCAAAGCAAAGTTTCCTATTTTAGAGGTTCTTGCATATTTTATCTCACAAGTTCATCCCCACTATGGAAGGAGACTGAGGAGTCTAAGAATACCTTCTCTTTGGTGCGTCTGCTGCACGCAGTTCATGTCTCACAGGCAAGCTAGGGGAAGGCAGTGAATCAAAAAAGAAGTTAGTCATCTTTTTTCGTGCTTGTTCAAACCACAGGACTGCTGTCATGCCAGTGTGCAAAGTTACTCGCTTCAAATATGGGAATGCCATGGGATGGGGGGCATTTTAAACTCTGCATGGAGTGGACATGTCAAATAGTAAGAAATGTGGGAGTGCAGCAATCAAACAATTAATCCTCTGGGGCTGCAGAATCGCTGTGGCACAGAACAAGTACATCTTGTTTAAGAAACTAAGCTGAAATGTCAGGATAAAACCTTTGGCCAATAAGGCTCTTACAAATGGATCTTCAAGGCAGTGAGTGCATTTACCAAACCACAGGGTGTTTAATAGGCTATTATTTCCAGTTAGATGAAGTTAAATAATGGTAGTTCTTGTCGCGGAAATTATATTCCTGGTGATGGGCTGAGCAAATAATTGAGTTACAACAAATAATTGAGTTACAACAAACAATTGTCTTTGAAGAATTTATTTAACAAAAGAGAATAAACAGAGAAGTACTACAACACAAATCAGCTGGACCAGAGGTTCTGTCTCCTAAGACAGTCACTAACGTCTGGCCCCGAGCAAAGGGATGCATCATCATTTACACAGTCTAGGTTTCTATGTTTTGGGGAACAGAGGAGAGGAACAACAAGAGAGGGAAAACACCAAAAAAAATCTCACAGCTCTGACCTAAACCCTAGTAAATGTGGACAGACTAACAAAAAAGTATAGGAGAGGAAAGGTTAATACATAATAATAATAATAATAGTAAAAGAACATACATAAAAGATTAAATGTAAGAGGACACAATTTTCTGCCATAACAATCCTCCGTCTGGCCATATACAGTGCCTTGCGAAAGTATTCGGCCCCCTTGAACTTTTCGACCTTTTGCCACATTTCAGGCTTCAAACATAAAGATATAAAACTGTAATTTTTTGTGAAGAATCAACAATAAGTGGGACACAATTATGAAGTGGAACGAAATTTATTGGATATTTCAAACCTTTTTAACAAATAAAAAACTAAAATATTGGGCGTGCAAAATTATTCAGCCCCTTTACTTTCAGTGCTGCAAACTCTCTCCAGAAGTTCAGTGAGGATCTCTGAATCATCCAATGTTGACCTAAATGACTAATGATGATAAATAGAATCCACCTGTGTGAAATCAAGTCTCCGTATAAATGCACCTGCTCTGTGATAGTCTCAGAGGTCCGTTTAAAGCGCAGAGAGCATCATGAAGAACAAGGAACACACCAGGCAGGTCTGAGATACTCTTGTGGAGAAGTTTAAAGCCGGATTTGGATACAAAAAGATTTCCCAAGCTTTAAACATCCCAAGGAGCACTGTGCAAGCGATAATATTGAAATGGAAGGAGTATCAGACCACTGCAAATCTACGAAGACCTGGCCGTCCCTCTAAACTTTCAACTCATACAAGGAGAAGACTGATCAGAGATGCAGCCAAGAGGCCCATGATCACTCTGGATGAACTGCAGAGATCTACAGCTGAGGTGGGAGACTCTGTCCATAGGACAACAATCAGTCGTATACTGCACAAATCTGGCCTTTATGGAAGAGTGGCAAGAAGAAAGCCATTTCTCAAAGATATCCATAAAAAGTGTCGTTTAAAGTTTGCCACAAGCCACCTGGTAGACACACCAAACATGTGGAAGAAGGTGCTCTGGTCAGATGAAACCAAAATCGAACTTTTTGGCAACAATGCAAAACGTTATGTTTGGTGTAAAAGCAACACAGCTCATCACTCTGAACACACCATCCCCACTGTCAAGCATGGTGGTGGCAGCATCATGGTTTGGGCCTGCTTTTCTTCAGCAGGGACAGGGAAGATGGTTAAAATTGATGGGAAGATGGATGGAGCCAAATACAGGACCATTCTGGAAGAAAACCTGGTGGAGTCTGCAAAAGACCTGAGACTGGGACGGAGATTTGTCTTCCAACAAGACAATGATCCAAAACATAAAGCAAAATCTACACTGGAATGGTTCACAAATAAACATATCCAGGTGTTAGAATGGCCAAGTCAAAGTCCAGACCTGAATCCAATCGAGAATCTGTGGAAAGAACTGAAAACTGCTGTTCACAAACACTCTCCATCCAACCTCACTGAGCTCGAGCTGTTTTACAAGGAGGAATGGGCAAAAATTTCAGTCTCTCAATGTGCAAAACTGATAGAGACGTACCCCAAGCGACTTACAGCTGTAATCGCAGCAAAAGGTGGCACTACAAAGTATTAACGTAAGGGGGCTGAATAATTTTGCACGCCCAATTTTTTAGTTTTTTATTTGTTAAAAAAGTCTGAAATATCCAATAAATTTCATTCCACTTCATAACTTGTTGTTGATTCTTCACAAAAAATTACAGTTTTATATCTTTATGTTTGAAGCCTGAAATGTGGCAAAAGGTCGAAAAGTTCAAGGGGGCCGAATACTTTCGCAAGGCACTGTATATGGACATCCAAATACAGAAAATTGACAATAGAAAATTAGCCATAGCCAATTTTGCAGAACATAGACATTATTAAGTTATGAATAAGCAGGGGATCAAACATATTTATATTTGTACTCATCCTGGATGAGAACCTTGGCTATCAAATATCATGTATAATACAAAACATATATATTCATAACTGACCTATAGCGTCTATAATAATCTATAATCTCCTAGTCTCCTAGATTAACTTGTGGGATAAAACAAGGACATCTACGAAAGCTAAGTGTGAATGTTTCTTTGCAGGACTACTTTTGTGTCTGAGACCTTTGTTTTGAAAAACTGTTGCCTGTTTCCATCAGATAAAAGCTTTTCCAAGCGTGTGCATTATTCACCAATCTAATGGTCCTGTCACCGGAAAGAAATTGATAATAAAGAGTTTGGTCTATATTTGTAAATTAATTCCTTAAATTGAATTCAATTAGTCTTTCGGACAATCACATGTTATTATTTCAATATTTAACAGTTACAAGCTTTGATGGTTGATTGTAATAAAAGTATCCACCATTCTCCGTCTGTTTGTTTTTAATTTCTTAATTTAATTTCTTTCTTTAAACTCATTTGGGACCCCTCAGGGCACCCCGATGGCCTCTATCAACACATTAGGATCAATGGAGAAAAAGTCTTGGCTGGAGCATTTCTGCCTGTGAGGCTTCGTATGGCATGATCAGGACATCCAATGCCAATACTACTTTCGCGCATGTACCTCTCCATCCTTCCGGCAGAGTTTGGTACAGCCGGCCACTCCCACAGGACCAGTACAGGTCAGGGATGGCACGGATTTGGTGTCATAACATGTCAGCGCTAGGCTTGTATGCAGTGTGGCAGTCTGTGTTGTTGTCTACTGTGCAGTCCCAGGAAAATGCCCCACCGACAGCCGTGTGAACCTTGGAATGAGTCTCGCCTCTGTGAAAACATTTAAATTTGACATCTGTCGCTACTGCGGTGTTTTTAGGAGTAGGTGTGGCTGTGCTTGTGTTGGCAAGGAGTGGATATTTAGCCTAAGTTTCTAACAGGGCTGTGTCGACTTTGTAGCCACGTGTGAGCATGCATTCCCAGGCCTCGACCGGGTCTGCCAGGTGTCGGAGAGTGGGAAAGGTTTAAATTTGGAAACTACATGCGAGCGTTCCATGCAGGCTGTGTAAGGCAGAGGCAACTGCCTAAAGCGTAGCTTCCCGGTCATGCATGCATAGCAACTAGAATTTAAAGTGGCGCGCACAGAACTATGTATATTTCCCTCAGGTGAGAAGGTAGAGACCAAACACGGAGCTAAAAGAGTGTGACTGTGTGAGTGTGTAAATGGTGGCCAGATACATTTACACACAAACATTTCACCTTAAAAAATGTACTTGTTGATGACTTGAGAACTTGTTTCCCATTGTTTTCACTGAAGATCCTCACATAGTAGAATGTTTGAAAGTGCAGTCAAACTATCAGTTGTTGACAACTGACTTTCTATCAATTGACTAATTGATGGAGTCATCCCTTCAGCTCTAAACTGGAGTATAATGGCAACATGTAGTAAAAACAGTTTACACGTAGCCTAGCAAACAATTGCTAGGCTACCTGAGCTAAAGTTTCCCCTGTAAACTAACCTCTGGAGACCAAATTTAAAAATTCAGGAAATGTATTGAGGAAGCTAGACAGAGGATACTTATCAGGGATTTTTGGATGATCTTTTTCAAGCTTTGTCTCAAACAT